CTCTAGTTTGATTAAAGCATGCGTAGGCATAGTGTCAATACCCGTCTGCCTAAGATCGCGATCAGGGTCCAACAGACACACGTACCGTACGACTGCGAACTTACTCAGCCTCATCTGAAGCTCCCCACACCCTCCACCTCCTTCTAGACTGGTCAGGCAGCTCCAATTCATACCATGCAGGCGTACCAGGAACGTGTTCCTCCAACTGCCATCCCAGTATCTCTGCCACGCGCCGCAACCATATCTCGCGAATTATTCCGTACCGCGGTCCACCATCCGCTGGCTGCACAAGCTCAGCAGGTGCTGTCCCTACCTGTTCCGTGATCATCTCCTTGGCGAGTTCCCGCAGGCGATTCAGATGATAAGGTTCTATGTGGAAGACACTGAAAGTGTCATCCACAGCATACCAACCAACCTTGTGAATTTGGGCATCGATTTCTGCATCGTAGATAACAGCTTTGTGAATTAGCTCACTCATAGCGTTCCACATAAAATGTACGATAGCTTGCGACCATATTGTGTCTATGAACATGTCGAGCGTAAAATGACGTGGCACGTCTGGGCGCGATCCTGGATGGAAGACTGGCAGGGATGATTCCAAGAACAGGGTGCGTCGACATTTAGGGCACGTATTTGAGTGCGAATGGTTTGTGTCGATCCACTTTTTGAGACAGGTAAGACCGAAGATGTGCTGACAGGGCGTGCGTGTGGCTTTGTGCTCTTCATTGAATGCTTCATGGCAGATATCGCAGGCTTCTATGATGTCGAGATCCCTGAAGAACTTTTTTTTTGTCGGAAGTGGGGATCGTGGTGGGGTTGAGGTCATGATTTGGTGGTTCACTGGAGGTGTGGGCGAGGCCCGGGTTGAAGTTGAGGCGGGCTAGCTGGTGGCAGATGTTCTTAGCTAGCAACTGGTTGCTGTTTTACGTAGTCAAAAATGATAACGTGATATCTCCTGTAAGTTTTCATTCTATCCCTCCACGCATCAGCAGCAGCAGCACATGATTGTGGCGTACTTTAGTTGCTGGGATGGGATTTTATTGAGAACCACGAGTGTACTGAACACGGAACAGCTTCACTGCTCATCTATGATTGATAATGATTCAGGACTGATGTTTGAGTTCAACTGAGAGCTTCTAATGAGCAGCGTACTGCTCAACCTCACAAGTACTCTTATACAGAGCTGACAGCTGTCATCATAAGCATGCTCCCTTACGATGATCTACAGAAGAAGTCGCGTGTCTCCCGCGGATTTCGGAAGTGATTCAGCTATCTGATAGTAAGCTTCGGGATTTGAAGACCTGTGGAAGACGGTAGTGACCTAAAATTTCCCTTTGTGAAGTTGCGATGTCGGCTTGTCTATAGCAGGCAGTCGCTTCCATAATGTGTCCATGGAAACAAAACGGAGAGAGATGTCAGAAGCGTAAATTGAGAGCTCCAGGTAACGGTACCAAAGCTGTGTTCTGTCAACCTCACCTAGATGAGATTTGCGTGGTACTGACAGGTGAGGGGTGCGTCATGGCCACGAGACGCTAGTGCCCACGCTAATTTCGAAGTTACGTTGAGGGCAGGCGACCATGTACCCGAACCATCAACTTTGAAACAGCACAACAAAAGAACGCAAATACATCTCCCATTTCAGAGACGCGACTTACGTGTAGAATTCATCTGAATCATCAACGCAACCAAAACAAATCACAACAATGGCCTCGGAAGTAGTCAACAAGCTGCAGAACCTGGTCACAGGAGAGTCGAAGAGCGCCCGCAAGAAGAAGGGCAAGCAAGAGGGAGCTACCGCATTGCCCGCTGCGCCTGAGAAGACGTCATCCGAGGCTGGCGCAGGTGGATCCAACCCTGCCGGCAAGGCCAATGGAACCGAAAGCGACAACTCGTACCTCCGTGAGGTTCAGAAGTAAGTTGCAACCGCATTGTGGTTCAGGGACCGCATGCACGATTAGCAGGACTCACTTACTAAGACGCGTCTGTGCAGGAACATCCGCAACATCAACAAGAAACTGGTAAGCTAACAATCTCCCTCACCCCTCGAACCCCTGCTTACATGACATCTCCAGAGCGCAACTCAAAAGGTCGACTCCATAATCGCAGCGAATCCCGGCGTATCTCTCGACGACCTCCTCGCCTCCAAGAAGATCAATGCCGACCAGAAAGCTCAAGCTGAGAGGAAACCCGGTCTTCAGGCTCAGCTTGCGCAGTACGAGGAGCAATACACCAACTACAAGAAGTACGGCGATGAGCTCGAGGCCAAGTTCGCAAAGGAGAAGGAGGTCCTGTCCAAGTCACACTCGTCCGAGCTGGAGACATTGAGGGGAACGATCAAGGCCGAGGCAGCGCTGGAGCAGCAGAAGATTGTCAAAGAGAAGTTGTTGACACTGTCTCGCTTCTTGAGGGCCGCGGCTGCTCGTCGTCAACTTGAGGATGACGACTCCGACCTGACAAAGGCTTTTGAGGGCGCTCTGCTTCAGGTCTATGGAGGAGACGCCGGCGCTGTCATGGCTGCAGAGAAGTTGATTGAGGGTGCGGAAGAGGGAGTACCATCCACCGAGGGAGTGGTACTCAGCGTCACCTGTAGGCTCACCATTATATTGAATGCGTCGCCTTAGACTGACTTTCTACAGATTCCCAGGTCAAGCAAGCAGCACTCGACGAAGCCCCGTTCGCCGCTGAAGAAGCTTGGGTTGACGACGTCGCGCAGTCTCAAGCAGCTGCTCCCGAGGCACAGGCTGGCTCCGACCCAACCATCACCAACGCTGGTCTTACTGAGATCGACGCTGGCGCAAAGCCTGTTACCGAAACCACCGAGACCGCATCAGCTGCCCCGGCGGCTTCTGGCATTGGAATGGAGTCAGCAAACGCTGCTGCAGAGGCACAATGGGACAAGCAACCGACCGGCGCTGATGACCCATTGACTGAGTCCTTCGAGATGGTACCGCGAGACCCCGCCGAGACCGAGACACCACACGTCGCTGCTGCCGTAACCAGCACCCAGAGCTGGGCCGACGATACCCCCGAGCCGAGCGCGGCACCCACCGCTCCTGCGTCCGGTAACGATGGCTTCTCCGAGGTTCACCACAACCGTGGCGGCCGGGGACGTGGTGGTCACCCAGGTGGTGAGCGAGGCGGATACCGTGGCAGGGGCCGAGGCGGTCCCAGGGGAGAGTTCCGCGGTCGTGGACGTGGCGGCCGTGGAGACTTCAGGGGTGGGCGTGGCGGTTTCCGCGGCGCTCCTCGTGGAGAATCCTCGTAAAGTCGATGAACCATTCCTGCAAAACGACTCGCACATTTGGGGAAGACTAGTTGCGTGAGCAGCTTTGATACCTTGTTTGGAGCATCTGAGCAGATGAAATAACGAAAGAGCTGGGAAGACAAACGTACAGCCCATTGTGTTTAGTAGCATAGCATCGGTGCATAGGATCAACATTTTCTCGGGTATGGGACGGCTGTACTATATTCTGGGTTATGATCTGGCGCTTAACGAATGGCCTGTACAATATGATTTCTTGCTTCAAGTGACTGTCATCGTCCTTTGTCGATTCTGTGATTTCAAGTTTGTAGTCATGTAGCTGGAGGTTGTTTGTTGGATCTGAACTAGGATAGGGTACTTGATGACACCCCTGATAGTAGCGGCCGCCGATCCGGAGAATTTCCATGGGGGGCGCGCTGGCTCGTCAGGTTTTCCGATTGGCGAGTGTTGGGTAGTACGAAGTGCCGGTGTGGAGTTGCAGCGCTCGCACTATGTGATGCACATCCCGTGCAAAAGTTCAAACATCATCTCATAGCTCGCACCGTCAGATTTGTGCATTGAGGGATGGTTTTCATCACAGCATCTAGATTGTTGCTTCCCCTTCAGAGTTAATACACAGAAGTCTTCAGGACCTGATGGCAGCACCCATCACCTCCTCTATGCAGAAAAGAGCCACCGCATAGTAAATCTAGCATAGTTTCGAGTAGATTCAATTTTAACAAAGTTGTGAAGGCATCCGGAGTTTACTATCGCAGTGAGCTGCCAACAACCGGCACCGCATGGTAAAGTCAGACAACAGTGACAAACTGCACTGCAACTGTGCAGTATATAGGCCTAGAAACAGGATGAGTACACAAGAAAGCTCTTCTCGAACCGCGGCAGCCGTATTGACTTATCGTGTTGTCGGTGAGGCGCGGCTCTATTCTTGCACATGGCGGCGTGATGCACGAACTAGCGGGTCACTGCAGCCGTTGAGACAGGTGCCAGTCAGAAAAGCTTAACCCCACAGATCCAGGAACCACGTTTCACGTCCGATCTAGTTGTAAATGTATCGTGTCTTTTCTGTGGTAGACTGGACGTCGAAGAGAAGCACAATCAGCCTTCCGAGAGGGTTGAAAATCGAGAACAGCCATCAGCATGCCCATGTGAGTTGGGTGAGTGTATCTGGCACTGCGGTGGTGTGTGGCTATCACATGGTGAACAGATGGAAAATATGGGGATCTGATAAGATGAGATCTGTAGATGTGGCCCTTGGATGACGTGCATGCCAGTCACCGCGCACCATACTTGGCGCGCTTTGCGCAGAGCAGTTGAATGACAACAACTTACAGCACACGCGATCCCTTTATGTAGATCAGGCTTTGTGTACCGCTTGAGGTGTCAGAATACATGCAGCTCTTCTGACGCTTTACCGGGGTGCTGTTGTCGCAAACTGCCCATCGTCAGGCGATAAGTGGCAGGGGTTGTTGCGCTTAACGCCTAGCGCAGACCCACGACCTGCAACCTCCTCATTCTCGCCTTCGCACCTCCCTCAGCATCATCCAGCGACTACGCCCCCCAGCACTTGCGATAACGCTTATCAACGACTCTGCAAGCTTCGCACGCCCACTGCGCTTGCTGCAAAATTGTTGCGGTACTAATACATCGACGCGCGCCCGCCCCGGCGGAGAAGCGACGCATGGCAGCAGCTCCACAGCCCCTCTGAGACATTCACGACTCGACAACTACTACCTTCACCATGGAGGCGCCCCCAGATGTCGTGCCTTCCGTTGAGGCGCCGCCCGCGACGCACGATGACTCCACCACGAAGCCAGCGCTGACGCCGCCTACGAGCGAAGACAACGACAAGCGATTCGAGAGGATGTCGTCCGAACTCTCTGAGCTAGACAGCGACGACGGCGAAGACATCGAACCAGACCATTACTTCGAGGGAGGAAAGATACCTGTGTTCAAGCCAGTAAGTAATCAAGTGCAGATAAACAACCCACGTAGGACGAGGAGCACACGCGCGCATGTTGTTATGACTATGACGCGCGGGCATAAACTACACAAGATACTAATTACCATCTGTACAGACAATGGACCAGTTTCGCAATTTCAAGCGCTTCATCGACAAGATCGACAAGCATGGAATGAAGTCGGGTATCGTTAAGGTTATTCCACCAGCGGAATGGTAAGTCTCGATTATGCGCCTGTTGTATGGCCTCCCAACTTAACTCATGACAGGCGCCAATCGCTCCCTGACCTTACCGAAGCCGTCAAGAGCATCAAAGTCAAAAACCCGATCACCCAAGAGTTTGCTGGACAGCACGGCATCTACACACAAGCCAACATCGAGAAACAACGATCGTACAACCTGCCGGAATGGAAAGCCGTGACGGACGAGCCACATCATCAGCCGCCAGCCAAGCGAGGCGAGCGCCGAAAGGCTGCTGCCGAACCCCCGTCTCGTACCCGCTCGTCGCGCGCCGCCCCTACAAATCGCGATGCCTCGCCTGCACCCAAGCGCGGACCTGGTCGCCCTTCTCGAAGGCGTCAGGTGAAGAAGGAGCCAGTCGAAGACGATGAAGACGAAGACAGCTCTCCCGAGGTCCCTCCCACACCCACATCACCCGGAAAGGAAGAGAAGAAGACACCAGCAACGAGGATCAAGAAGGAAGCGCGCGACACACCACCTGCTAGGGCACGCGGTCGGCAAGCCAAGACAGCCGACGAGAAGAAATCCGTCTCTTCTCGGCGTCTGAACAACCGCGGCGCAGTGGCCGATTACATCGACGAGGCTGCGTTTGAGGACTTCGACTACCACCTGGATGGCCTTGATGAGTACACCGTCGAGCGATGCAAAGAGCTAGAGGACAACTACTGGAAGACGATCAACTATGGCTCGCCTATGTATGGAGCCGACATGCCGGGTTCTCTGTTCGACGACTCCACCACCTCCTGGAACGTCGCGAAGCTACCCAACCTTCTGGATGTTCTTGGAACCAAGGTCCCTGGTGTCAACACGGCGTACCTCTACCTAGGCATGTGGAAAGCCACTTTTGCCTGGCACTTGGAGGACGTGGACCTTTACAGCATCAACTATATTCACTTTGGTGCCCCCAAGCAGTGGTACAGTATATCGCAAGAAGATGCTCGCCGCTTCGAAGCTGCCATGAAGACCATCTGGCCAAACGACGCAAAGCATTGCTCGCAATTCCTTCGCCATAAGACCTACCTAATCTCGCCTCAGCGACTGGAGAGGGACTTCAACATCAAGGTCAACCGCCTCGTCCACTATGAGGGCGAATTCGTCATCACATATCCTTATGGCTACCACTCCGGGTACAACATTGGCTACAACTGCGCAGAATCGGTCAACTTCGCAAACGAATCTTGGTTGAGCTATGGTCGGATCGCAAAGAAATGTCTCTGCGAATCTGACAGCGTTTGGGTTGACGTTAACGAGATCGAGCGCAAGCTACGAGGAGAGCCAACACCAGAGTACTATGAGGAGACTGATGACGAAGAAGACGACGATGACGGCGCTGATCGTCTGCCCAGTCCTCCAGCCAGTGTCGCTGGCAAAACCAAAGGAAAGCCAGGCCGTAAGCCAGCCGGCAACAAGAGGAAGCGCGGCAAAGAGGATCCCAAAGAGACGTCTCGACCAAAGAAGCTCAAGCGCATTCGTATCCGTATCAGGATTCCAGGTCGAGGTATGCCCTGCATTCTCTGCCCTAACGATGTGGAGTACGACGATCTGCTGCCGACCGACAATGGCATGAAGGCTCACCGAATCTGCGCGGACTATACGCCTGAGACTTACATTGTCAACAAGGGCGATGTCGAGACCGTGTGCAATGTGGCCAACATCGGCAAGGACCGCTTGGAGCTCAAGTGCAACTACTGCCGATCTAAGCGCGGCGCCGTCTTCCAGTGTTCGCAGAAGAAGTGTACTAGGGCCTTCCATGCTACCTGTGCGGTGGCTGCAGGTGTCCAGGTTGACCTTGGTCCTATGCCTACCTTCGACGAAGAAGGCACAGAATACTTCTACGATGGCTACGACTTCCGATGCCGTTTCCATCGGCCAAAGAAGCGCAACAACAAGACCGTCGATGTTGAAGCACTGGAGAAGGACAAGTTTGTCTTGGCCTATGGCAAGACTCTCAAACCCAAGGATGTCATCCAGTTCCAGTACGTGGGTGGCGAAATGTACCAGATCTACGGTGCACAGGTCGTGGAAAACAGACCTGGTGAGCAGGCTGTCCTGGTAGATGTATTGCCTGATGGTGATAGAGTTGAAGTCGAGTGGAAGTACATACTCAAGCTTCATCCGGACGAATCGCAGCGACTGAAGCCTTCGGCAAATGCTAAGCCACTTCCTGAGCATCTCAAGGAGAGCGATGCATCCCTTGACATCACGAACCGCACTGACGGTGTACCTGAGATGGGCGATCCTTTCCACGACCCCAACTCTGAGCACAAGTGGGCTGAATGGTATACTGCTCCTGAGGTTACTCGGAGAGTGGCTAGAGTCGATCTGAGCAAGGAGGATCGGCTTTGGTACTACCTTGGAAAGCCTTCAACCGAGGCTAGGCCACAGTACACTGAGGACCCTGCAAAGCCTAGGAACAACCCCAGGAGCAACTTCCTCGAAACCGTCAAGCCTCCTCCCCCGCCAGTACCAACCTTCCATCGTACTTCGTACCCAGCCTCCTATCCAATCAAACCGGCACCCATCGCAGTACCTCCGCGCACACCAATGCAATATCAAACACCAGATGGTCGGCCGTACAATTACAAGCCGAAGGAGTTGGCGATGTCGTCTTACAGGTCGCCGGTCTACAACCCTGATACTCGCAAGAATCCCAACTCGCCAGTGGCGCATCAACCCAATGTCAGCTATGATCATCGCTTGCCCGCAGGACAACAAGGACAGCAGCCATACCAAGGCTACCACACTCATCGGTCACCGCACCCTTCACAACAGCAACAGCAGTATCAGCCATATGTGCCACCACAGAGCTACTCTAATGCGTCCTGGAAAACACAGTCGGCAACGCCTTTGCTCAATGGAATTGACAAGTATGCGCAACCGACACAGAATAGCGCCCTACCGCCATACCCATACTCTCAGAGTCCTCGTCAGTTGCCACCTTCACCATACTCACCAGGCGCGGGACATATTGCTGCTTCACCTTATGGCCCACTAAGCCATCAAAGTCAGGCACCACCACACGGTCGCGCGTCGATCTCAAACATGCTGAGCAACCCTACTGGGACTCCCAAACCTCCAATGTACGCCGTCACACCCTCCTCTGAAATCATCTATGCTGCCCAATCCCCCACTGAGTATTTATCTTACGTCATGAATTATCCCTACCTCAGAAATTGTTATTTGCGGAGGACAAAAACTTACATATCACCCTATAGTCTGGACGGTGGAATTGCACCCGAATGGATGCCAAAGCAGGCTACGCCGAGAACCAGTGGTACACCTACTTCCATCGCACCAAGGCCTATCGCGTCACACGGAGCCGCGCCTTCTCCAGGATACTACGGACCGCCACCGCCAACGGGCCTCCCTGCACCAAGGCCATCCGCACAGTTCCAGTCTTCAGATGCTTTTCAACGGGAAATGGCAAGGACGACGCAGACTCCCGAGGCGCCAAAGTGGGAACAGATGCTTAAGCAGCTCGCTACATCGACAGGCCCTACGGGTACGCCATCCATGACTGCGCACTCGCCACAGGCACCTCAACCTCGCTACCCTCCCTCGGGGCCCCGCTCCAGTCTATCGTACGACCTTCCTAGGAGCATGCAAGCTTCGCAAATTCAAACCCCACCAGGACCGCCACCACGCGAGCCACAACGACCGACACCTAGCCCTATCAGTGACGACGGCAAAGGCGGTCTTGTAGCTGTATCAAGGGACCAGAAGCCAGTGCTCCCGCCTCTGCAGCCTACGACGAATGTCCACGGAGCTGAGACATGGCGCTACTCGTCTTAACGGTATGTGGACGATGTATTGGGGCGTTCGGTGGAACTAGTGTATTGTAACGACATGTATGACTAGAGGGTGACTTTCGGCGTTTTCAATGGGTCATAGCATGGATTGCCTGTGCAAACCTTCCATACGGCATTACCATCGGATGAGAATACAGTGATGGTTTTTATCTGTTCAACAGTTTTAATCTTGGATCTCGATGTGTGCAAAAATGTTGTTTAGCAAACGCTGTGCATAGGCGTGTTACATGCTTCACACCTTGACAGATGAACACCGGGTCTCCGGTAGGAAGCGAGCCTTGGCCAGCTGTACCGTCGCTTTAGCCGTTGCTTGTTTTCGGTTGCCGGCTGCTAAAGTTTCTTGGCCCGAAATGAAGGCCCGTGTGGCATGGAAGCGACATTGAAACGCATAGAGAGCAGAGACCCACCCGGACAACATAAAACACCAGTGGAGTTTCTCCGGGCGGCATTGATTGAGGCGCAGAAACAGGTACTGACGTTCAGGCACCTATGGAGGCAGGATTCTGTCGCGAAGTTGGTTGCGATGCAGTGTCATCTGCCAAGGGTGTGTAGGAGGGTTCGGTGGAGTATTCAGGTCTCAGTACCTGGTCTCGATCGAAAGAGCAAATACGGTGCACACCGTAGTTCGTATGAATCAAGACGTTGGTACCAAGCGCCTGGAACTGTCATGCCTAGTGGAGGCGCGCGCTGTCCTTGACCCACTTTCAGGGGGGCATGGCATGAAACGATGAAAGTCGGAAGCGACCATACGGAGATAAGGGCGCTGAGGCTACGATCGGACCTACGGATGTATAGCTCGGTTTGCTGCAGATTAATGAATGTGAGGAGTAGAGCGCGGTCTGCCGGTTTGCCGTGGTTGCGTTTATGCCGCTGGGTGGTGGGAGATTTGGTGACGCGTAGATGTCGTTCCTGAGGCGCTGGGTCTAAGCGAGTCGAGATGGTTCTAGTGTGCAGCGGGCGGGAAGAGTCGTTGATTCTCGGCGCCCAAGCTCTTTGCACCATCATCAAGTACACAACATGGTATCACAACTAAAGAATGAAGAGTTATTGTAAGAGCATAATGCGCGTACGGGAATTCGGCCGCAGAGATTGTACAGCCACTGCATCCAAACACCGGTGCAATGACGTGCTAGCTGTATCTGGCGTCTATTCAATGTTCAACCCCTCTTGCGTTTCGCTTTGACATGTTCCTTGCGTCGATCAGGAACACCTGGCCGGGGACTGCTCAGTATACTCTGTTTACCGCCAGGATCAGAAGCCACACCATGAAACAAGCACCGCCATGACAAGTGACAAGCCCACCTTGCGAACATCGAGCACCCCAGCTCCACAGCCCTGAAGCATTGTACGCGGAAACGGTTCCCTTTCTGTCAGCTCCACTCCTTTCATTTGACACATGCACAGCGATGCGCTATTTCCGACATGGCAGCATCTGAGTATAAGAGTACCTCTCGCCCAGCGTGTAGAGATTCCTCACCACCACAGTCATTCAGTCAGTCGACATTCGCTCTCTTCACCTTCGTTCACTTTTTCACGCTTGAAGCGCCTCACATTCTTTACTATCTTCGTTGATCTCGAAGTACCTTTTTGAACACCAACCCTTTCGTCCAAACCAGACTTTCCAACACCCAACACTACAATGCCTTCCAAGATTCAAGCCGCTGCCATCCTTGGCGCCTTTGCTGCCTCCGTCAGCGCCCACGGTCACCTTTCTGCCATCAAGGTTGACGGCAAGGACTTCACTGCCTACGACCCGTCTTTCCAGTACCAGACCCCCTCCCCCGAAGTCATTGAGTGGTCCTGCCCGGAGTGCCTCGACAACGGTTTCGTCGACCCGTCCATGTACGACGATGCCACCAAGATTGCCTGCCACAAGGACGCCACTGCTGGCGCAAAGGTTGCTACTGTCGCCGCTGGTGGCAAGCTCGACATCTCGTGGACCACCTGGCCCGAGTCCCACGTCGGCCCCGTCATCGACTACCTTGCCAAGGTTGACGATGCCACCAAGGCCAAGTCTACCGACCTTGAGTTCTTCAAGATCGATGCCGCTGGCTTCGAGGACGGCAAGTGGGCTTCTGACAAGCTCATCGCCAACAACAACACCTGGACCGTGACCGTCCCCGACAGCATTGCCCCTGGTCAATACGTCCTCCGTCACGAGATCATTGCTCTCCACTCCGCTGCCCAGGAGAACGGTGCCCAGAACTACCCCAAGTGCATCAACATCGAGGTTACCGGCTCCGGTACCGCTACCCCCAAGGGTACTCCGGCTAACAAGCTCTACACTGCCACCGACCCTGGCATCAAGGTCAGCGTCTACGGCGGTGACATGTCCAGCTACGAGATGCCCGGTCCCGCTCTATTCGACGGTGCCAGCTCCGGCTCCGGCTCTGACAACGCCTCCGCGCCCAAGCCTTCTGCCTCTGCTCCTGCATCGGCTTCTCCTGCTGCCTCGTCTGCCCCTGCTGCTACCAGCTCGGCTGCTGCCGCCGCTGTCTCTACTCCTGCTGCCTCTGCTCCCGCCCCTGCCCAGACCGGCAGCGCCAGCCTCGACAAGGAGTTCACCCTCGACACCTTCATCTCCTGGCTCGAGGAGAAGGCTGGCTCTTCCAGCCAGAAGGTTCGCCGCCACCCCCGCGCTTTCCGCGTCTAAGTTCGTGGTGCGATGACAATTGGAGGAAACGTGATGGAGAAATCCTGGAAGATGGATGATGGAAAGTAACACTTTGGTGTTCTTCACTTCTTGTACCTACTTGCTTTGAATCGCTTTGGTTCATTGCTTCTTTGACTGAATGATATGTGTTGCACATTCGACTACTATTCTCTTTGCGTGCAAATACTTCCAGTGCGTATGGTTTTGAGAGCGTTGGTGATCATCTCGTCCCTGGTACTAATGTTAGCCGACAAGGCGATCTTGATGCTACATTCGCGGAAGCAACAACAACAAAGCGAATTATTGCTTGTATACTGAATGGGAGCGTAAGGGGCACTTGAATGTGTCTGAGATGTGAGCCGGCGTTACCCCGCCTGCTAGCATCTCTTCACTTGAAGCCGCCCCACTTGTACATTTGCAAAACGCCCGTCCGGAGGCGTGCCATGTGACACAAAACACATGAGATCTCAGATTTGAGGATTTGTCATCAAACAGATTATCCGGTATAGTCCATCGGCTAGGATATCTCGCTTTCACCGAGAAGAGCCGGGTTCGGTAAGCTAAACTCACAACACCACAGTTCGAGTCCCTATACTAACAATCGACGAGATTCCCGGTACCGGAATGGGTTAAAGCCTTTATTTTTGCCATATATTCAGTGTAATGCGGCAGGAATAGATGTTTCAGCTGTGTTGAAGCTTTTTTGTTTTTTTAACTTGCAAACTTCAGTCGTGTCTGACTTCCGTATTTTGGAGCATCTACTCGCGCTGCATGCAAAGGTGAATACACTAGGCTTGTTAGTGCATACTCTATTACTCTTCTTCTGCATTCGTTGGTGTGGTACCTGCTCTCTTGTTTGGCTCTTCTTTGTTGCGAGGCGCGAAGTATGGCCTCCGCCCTGATACAGATTGTACGTGCTTCTGACGCTCAGTACAAGTAAGATCAATATTATCTCAGCACTGGAGTGAGGTCGGATTAAGAGCGCATAAATTGCACTCGCAACAAGATATTCTAGTATTGACATCTGTGGGTCTTCTCGTATCGTCAGCCCTTTTTGTCACTGTGTCGCGCGATAGCCTACCACTTCGTGTGGGTCTACTTTAGTAGAGTTATCTGCAGTGCGACAGCAAGAAGACGTGAATCTAGGTCACATTAGACGTCTACAAAGATGAATGTCTTGACCGATCATATTACATAGCCTAGGTTGAGGTATACGTTGACTTTTATGCGGAGAGACTACACATGTGTAGCATTGCGAACACCTCCAGGGTGATTATTTTCTGTCATACTTATCAAAGGCGGGTATACATACACATGCTAAATCCTGCTACTGAACATGAGTATTAAGTGTTCTTCTAGTTCTGCTCGTCTTCCGCTTTCTTCTGATTCTCAGCCTGCTGCAAGTCAAACGCCTTGACCTTGACCTTCTGGGCCTGAGTCCACTTGGCCTGCTGCTCCCTCTGCTTTCTCTTGCTCTCATGGCCGTTGGATCCCCTTGTGCGATCTTCAGATCGCGGAGGGCTCTCGACCGGCGCCCTGACTCTAGGGACTTGCTCGGTGCCTTCTTCGTAGTCGACTTCTTGTTCTTGTCGACCGCATCGTTGGATGGTTTCTTCTCATCCATGGCATCGACCTTCGCCTTCTGTGCGGCGTGCCAATCACGACTTGTCTGGCGTTTCTTCTCTAGCCTCTCTTTGGCCATGTCGTCATCAGTGGCGAGCTTCGTCTGGAACACCTTGTAGATCTGGCGATCGTACCCTTCCTTGGATAGGCCGGCCTTGACGCCCGTCACTTTGGTCCTCTTCCTTGGAGGTCCCTCTTCTTCGTCGTCGTCGTCTTCTTCGATCAGCGCGGTCTTGTCCCACATACGCTCCATCGCCTTTTCAAACGTAGCTGCCCTTGGCCCATACTGCGCAACCATCTCGGCGCTCTGGAAGAATTTCCGACAATATTTACCGGCGACGGTGTGCACCTTGTAGATGAGCGCGATCTTCGAAATCTCTGCAACGGTAGATGACCGACCTTGAAGCCAGTCGCGGAGGCACTCGAAGCCAGATGGAGTTCGTGGCCACGTCAGCGCTGTCCTCAGCTCTGTCTCGTCGCCATCACCGTCGAGGAAGTCGGCAAAGACGCGCAGTGGAACGAGCTGTCCAGTCGAGTGCTGGTGCCATGTCTGCGTGGTGGACAGAAAGGCGGGGAGAGAGACCGGCCGACCAAAGTAGACCATTGTCAGGTCCACAAGGCGCTCTCGGAGGGCTTGCCGATGTTGGGCCTTCGTGGTAACGTGGGCTCGATACCTCTTGAAGCACTCCGGGTGGTTGATGTAGAGGACGATGCGGCTTAGCTTCCCGTGAACGTCGCGTTCTAGCCATGCGATCCGTCATATGCCTACGAGTTTGACCTCGGTCGCATTGATATTGTTGAGCTTGATATATTGGTCGTACAATACTTGTGGGAATCTACCGGACACGAGGACCACTCTCGCTGTAGACAACGATATGGGCCTATGTGGTGACATATGCGCGATACCTCTTCATTAGCTCTGGATGTGGGAGCATAGCATCTCATGAAAGATTTTTTTTGAATGGGTCTGGAGACTACATCGAGATGATAATATGCAAAGTGTGTGACCCAAAGTCGATGTAGGCTCCAGGCTGTTTAGTGTTTTTTCTTGATTGACGTAGTAGCGGAAATGCGATGCGACATAGTTCGCCGTCTGTGTTATTCGCCAGTCATACCATGCGACCTGACACGGCTTAACATGGTTTGCTGCGCGCTGGTCTAACCAGAGGGGCGGGTGTTTTATGTACGGAGCTTGCTCAACGGCATCCGGAAACCAGCGATCCATAGCAGGGTCGGTCCTCGGCCAAGTCTTCGTCTCGCTGTCGTCACAATGCCCATGGATGGTAAAGGGTGTCACGGGCTCCGCCTTGGCCGTCTGAAGCAACTCGGCAATCTCAGGATGGTGAGGAGAGAGGCGAGGCAACAGCTCATCGATGTCGTCAATTACGTTCTGTGTGGTCGCTGCAGTATGAAGTCAGTATACATGTCTCATGCACTTCGCGCAGCCAGAACTTACCGTATGGGTTGAAGAGTCTCGCCTCTGATATCTTGACATCAGTCTTTTCCAGCTTCTTGAGCTCTTGCGCGTGGCGTTTCCCTGCGAATGCCATTGTGATGGCGGGGTGGGGGACGAGGTTCTGATGGCGGAGAGAGGGATGCTGATGGCGGCAGGGTGCTGAGAGCGGCCGCGGTGTTTCGATGGCGGCAATACTGGTGACAAGCAAACTGAAGGGATTGAGCGAGCTACCCAGGTCAGATCTGAAATCCCAGTGTGCGAGACGCGAAGCTTACCACGTTTGGGTTGTTGTTGACTCGCTTCGAGGAAGGGGAAGGAGCAGCCCACCACCACCCCGCGCGACAGACCATCCAGAAGGCCGTATAATGCACATGGAACAGATCATGTATCCCGATCAGAGCGAGTGTGGCATGGAAGTGGTTGTACGTCGTCAACGCCATGAGCAGCGTGTCCTAGTAGGGCATGGCCATCTACTCCAACCTCCTCAAATCGTCCTTCTGCAGAGCCGCCACAATGTCCACCTTCTTCTTGGGGATGGGCCGTGGAAGCCCACGTGAGCGATACTCATCACGAACCATGTCTCGGGACTGACCTGCGTATGCATCTTCTGTCTCTTCATGGCCGCGGCCTTCTTCCTCCATCTCTGTGCGTCGACCGTCTTCCTCAATCTCTGTGCGTCGGCTATCTTCCTCAACATCTGCTGGTCGACCATCTTCCTCAGCCCCCTTCTCTGCCTCTTTCTCTTGCTCTGCGAAATAGCATAGGTGGTACTCGTCGTACGATTGCGATCGCGAAGAAAACATGAAGCCAACAAGACTATGCTACGCAGAGTTAGTGCGTGGCTTGTACAGACGGCGAATACAACATACCTCCAAGTTCTCGCGCAACACATGGTCCAGGGTAGCCATGGTCTTTTCTCGGGCCTTCCACCGGCTGCAATGGTAGTCGCACATGAGCCAGCCACTGCTTGGGGTGTCGTGCTGGATCAGAACAGCTTTGCATCGAGGAAGGGTTGTCAATAGCGCGAGCGCAGACTTGAACTCTTTCGTACCCGACATTGCTGACTGAGAAGGTATCGCCATCGGCTGCGGCTGCGGCGCCTTGATGTACCTGGTAGAAAAAAGCGGTTCTCGGGACCTTGAGGCATAGTGTGGTGATGTGGTCGCTCCACCGCTCGAACTTTGCAAGTGACACTGCGCGCGCAGGAAAGTTGGCGTCAAGCTACGGAAACAGAGTCAGCATATGCTTGTGTCCCCCCTCCATCTGGGACTCACCTGGAGGGAAGCGGTAGTCGGATCGACAACGTTGTAGAAGCTGTCTTTGCATCTGCCCACGAGCTCCTTTTTACACGTCTGCCGGAGTGAGCGAGTGTCGCAGCATGCAAGGTGGCGTAGAATTATGCCGAATGTCTCGACTATAACTCCCGCCAGACATGCACGAGGAGCCGACTGTGCTTTCTTCTGAGGTGGCTGGCGACGGTCGCGGCGGTGGAGGTTACGCGAGATCATTATGTCTAACCTACACATGCGAGCCTGCAGCATGGCAGTGATGCTGCTGGTGCTGTGCTTGTTGATATGCGTTAACATCCCAGTGACCAGCTTGCGCGCCCCGCCGACGAGGCGTTGTAGCAGGAAGTTCAGAATGCCTGCGCTAAGGGCAAAGAGCGTGGGAACGATCTCAAAGACGCGACAGGAGTTGGCGACGCGGAAGCCTGGAAGACCGCGCAGGATTGCAACGAGCCAGTTGCAATATCCCCTGTATATGCAGGCAACGACGAATAGGAGGCGCTTGTTGTTATCGTTCGCGGTCGTGAGGAGGGTCGCGATCTGCTGGTCGTGATCAACGAGAGACGTGATGGAGGTCGTGCGTGAACTTCCATCGTGGCTAAATCTATGTCTCATATGTGGCGCCAGCTTGACGGGAAGCCGTATACAAGCCATCCATTGTTCACGACAAGGCTATACAGGCTCGCTATAGCGTCGGTTCCTCTCGTCTATGGCTTCTTCGCTTCCCGGCAATGGCGGGCTCATAAGAAAGGCAGGCGTGACCGGCGTCGGTAACTCCGTCAAGTATATGTTGGTCATCTTTGTTCCAACGAACGTAGTCCTCGCGGTGCTCGGAGTTACTGGCTCGAAGCCCTTCCACAACTTGGCTTGCCTGTACTGCTTTACTGGTGGTGAACGGCGAAGTCTCCATGCGCGGTGGAGTAAGAGTACTGTAATGAGCACAAGTATGGTGCAGACGATACCAATACCGACGCCAATTCCGATGGCAGCTGGTGTAGAGAGCGAGCGGTCGTTTTCCGAATGGTACATTGCCGATGATGTTGAGGATTCTCGAGCGCTGTCAAGGCTTAGTGAAGGTGTGTAGGCGGCTGGGCTCGTAACGACTTTTCGGATAGTCATAACTGCGTTGATTGTACTCAGTCTGACAGGCGCAGTAAAGGTACACAGGATGAAGTCATTGAAAGAATTACCTAGATAGCCTCACCCAGCGTTTGCAAACAATGAGCGGTTATGATTCTCTCACGTCTCCATTCGGAAGGCTGAGCACTAAGTTCTTTTCATATGCAACTAAGCGCCTCCTAGTGGATCTTAGATGATCACAGCCTTCGTAGCCTACATGTGGACGTCGAATGTGACTTGGTAGAACCACATGAACCTTTGACCCTAGATATGAGATACAGCAAATGCTTTCGAGGGTGCTCGCATACGAACCATCGCACTTGCTTAGAGTTCAGCGATTGTTCCGGAAGGTGTCACATCGGTCCATCACTGTAGCTGCACACATCCTAAGAAAACTGATGGGGTCGAAAGTGCTCTAGAGATGCAAATAAGAGGCGTCGTGCAGGAGTCCTAATGTGGTAGCGTTTAGACGAAAAGGGTAGGGACGAGCGAGAAGAGCACCCATCAAAGACGAGATGTGAGCCTGTTCTGTTCCCAAGGGCGCTTGAGGCGAAACGCGCAATGCCCATTCGATGTCGGTGTGATGCGCTGTCACACGTGCTGTTGGTGTTCAGCCTCAGCGGCTACGAGGACACCATCAGCACTGTCAGGCACTCCACGCATGGAGAGAAGAGCGATTTGGCGATTTTCTAGCTGAACATCATGAAGGGGAGAATACGGCGACTGAACAAAGACGGAAATGGACGTAGTATGGAGCGCGTGGTGTGGTGGTGTGATCATCGGTCAAGTCCAGCCGGGAATATTCTTCGTGGGGTAAAGCCGCCGAATGGGAACGTCGTGCGCTAAGCCGCGATGCGCATAGCCTTCCCATTCGCCGGCAGCACGTCTACATAGTAAGCTTGACGACGAAATGACAGCTGTAGGTCGGTCTAGCATTCTCACGAAGACTGCGGCAGCTGTCAGCTTAGCGGCTGCAACGCTTCAGATCAACCGCGCCTGTAGAAATACAGCAAATGCACATGCATTGATATGTGCCCCGTACTCTGAGTACAATGCAGTAGAGCGTCTCCATGCAAGAGAGCTCCACGTGTTCCCTGGATGCACAATCTCGTGGCATGCAACCTGCTAAGGCATTTCTGATTTCAAGAAGCAAGCCTCGTGGGGGCCAAGAAAGTGCTTTTAATTATGATGCAAAGAGCGGCAGAGGTGTCGACGTCTGGTGGGAAATTGCAGAGTGAGTCGACTCGGGACATGACTGAGACTTGAATCACGATGAACGAACACAAGTGACATCAAGAACGCGCGTCGGGAATAGGAGAGGACGATCAGAGATCAAGATGTTGGTGCAGAATGCCATGGCACGGGAGAGAATCCTGTGGGCTAGACTCACGGCAAAATCGGGCTTGGCGATATCCGCGACAGGGGACCCGAGTAAGGCTGCCAGGTACACCACCAATCTTGGTCAACGTCGCCAGCTAACGTCTGTCGAGCCACAATCCACCCAAGATTGCTCTTCGTCATGGTTCCAAGCTCGGTCTTCTTATTGACGTTCGCCCGGTTTCGGTGGAGCGGTTTGCGTCTCAGAAACTGCTTGCCTCGGCGTCCACGACGAAGCCGAGAATGACGACATGCATGTCTCATCACCTTCTTGGTACACAGAACATGCACCGAACTCCGGCCCCCAAACAACGCGTGGCGGGTTGCCTTGACAGCAGGTGGACCCGCGTGTACACTTACCTTGGTTCAAAATGCTGGAAGACGGGAGTTGGCAGCGTCGAGCTAGAGGAAGCGTGGTGCTGGTTGCTATAGCGGTCGCTGGTCGCACGCCGGTGAGCACCTGCATTTCAGGGTCATCAAGCTCGACGCTTCACTCGCGTCGCTGTAGCAGTAAGAAAGCTTGGCCAGACGACAAGTGCTGACTTGTTTCAGAGTGAATTGAGCACTGTAACGCTGGAAATAGCACCTGGCACGCCTTGCCATAGCCCGAATCGTCCCACGGGCAGCTGCAGAGACATGCATGGCTCCGCTGTCGATGAGACGGGGCGTTGCAGGCTGTGGCTTGGATGCAACGCCTCTGGCCCCAGTTAATCTCGTTACACGGCGGACAAATGTTCGTCAACAGACGTCATAGGCTCAAACACGCAGAGGCGGCCCCGGATCAAGCTTCACTCGAAAAAGCAGGAACGGCTGCCGATGACTGGGATGGGCTGCGATGGCTTTGCCGCATCTGGGCAAGGACACGGACAGTGCGCTCCTGTGTGGCGTCACTTGCCTCACTGGCCAGTTAATTGCGTGCATTACGTGGCTAAAAAAATGTGGAGGAGGCGCAAGCGAGCAAGGGCGGTGGCCGCTGTGTTTGTTGCTGGCTGCTGGGGCTATGGCGACATGCAAGCGCGCTAGTTGTTATGCACTCACCTGGTATAAGAGCTCCCCTCTCGCCCTGCCTTCTACTCCCCATCTACAGCTCAAACAATCTCCACATCAAACCAACTACACTCAACTCTTTACCCACCACCCAACCAACTCATTCACCCAAACCATCAACATGCGTTTCTCCACCATTGCCACCGCTGTCATCGCCGCCGGCGTTGCCAACGCCCAGGTCGACTCCATCATCTCCCAGATCACCTCTGCTGTAGGCGGCGTCCCTTCTGACCTCGCCTCCGTCGGTTCATCCATCGGCTCTGAGATCACTTCCGCCGCTGCCTCCATTACCAGCGCGGGCGGCTCTGCTGCTGCCTCCGGTGCTTCTTCCATCCAGAGCGCTGCCGACTCTGCCATCAGCAGCATCGCCTCCGAAGCCGAGAGCGCTACTGGCTCCGCTGCCAGCGCGGCCTCCTCTATCACCCAGTCGCTCGGATCTGCTGCCAGCTCTGCCGCCAGCGCTGCCGAGAGCGCCACCGGTACCGGTGCTGCCGACTCCAACAACGTCCCTGCTATGGGCGCTGTTGCTGGTGGTCTCCTTGCTCTTGCCGGTCTGTTGTAAGCGGGTCGACACTCAACCGCTTCCTTCCAACATCGTCACAAAACGTCTCCTTTGACAGTTTCTTCGATCGGTTAGCGACATCAGCCATGAGCTGACATCGCTTCGTCTCTCGTGAGACAGGTGTGGGACCAGAATGATTCACAGCGACACTTGGGATTTACCAATCGGTATACTTATAATAAGTCATTTCAATGAAACATTCAGAATACCTCAAAGCTTCTCTCTCTCTTCCATACGCTGCTCATCATTGTCGTGACATTTGTTCTACTGTCAAAATCTCAACCCACTGGTTTTTCTGACTGTCTGTTTTGGGGCTGCTGCTTCGATCGTGTTCTATTGTTAGGTTTCAGCATCGCAGCTGAGTTGATGATGTGAGGTTCTCGCTTATGACGTAAAGCCGCGCGTTCAATTCGGTGGCGTTTTCCGAAACCCAATAACGCGGCTGCGGTTAGCGGCGTCCCGTATGCACTCCGCATTCTCGCATGCGCATTCTTTATTCAACCCCTTCCAGATCACCTTCTCACCGCTGATCAGACAGGAGATGCGACGAATTGGTCGTACACAATCCTTCATCGCGCGCATTAGAAGGCTGACAGCATGATCGAGATGCACCGGCTCATTCGAGAGATTAACAGGTGGGAAATGTACCTGCAACGCGCCGTGCAAC